CTGATCCTGGTAGAGTAGACTACAATGCCGGCTGTTCTGACTCACAGACTGTAAGTACGTTTTTATATTTAAAGAATTTGCCACTGACGATTCAAACGTGAGTTTTGAGCAGTGTAGAGTAGCACTTGTTGTTTGTCATTTCTCCGGCACCATGCAATGCAACGCGTAAAAAGACAGTATAAGTCATTATAATCCGTAATTATGTCCCCACTGGATGCAACAAATGCCTCGTTTATAATGGGTTTTAATGTTTTTGTCTGTCGCTCCGGCCGGACAGGGCATCACAGTATGGTAAGGGGCGTAACATTTCCGTCACACGCTTGAGGTATTCGGCCAATCACAACTCACTGGATAGCTGGCCAATCAGAGCACACCTCGCTTTTCAGACTTATGAGCTTTGTAAAAATCGACGCTTTTCAGAAAGACAGGGCATAGAGGAGAAACAATAATGTACAGTATGTGGAAAATAATGTGTTTTTTGAACATTAAACCGCATAAACACATTTTATTACACCAAATACACAAAATAATGTTCTTTTTAGCAACATAATATGACCCCTTTAAACACTGTTAGAGGGGTTGTTCGCTCAAAAAAAATTACAATGTCATTTATTTACTCATTGTCATTCCAAATCTAAACCTGTGTACTTATATTTCTTCTGTGGAACATAAAAGAAGATATGCAGTTTAAGTCATGCAGTTGGAATTTTGATACCCAACACTCTTCAAAATATCATCTTTTGTGTTCCGCATAAGAAAGAAATGCATATAGGTTTGGAATGACGAGTAAACGATGAACAAATTCTGATTTATGGGAACTATCTCTTTAAGGCAGCATAAAGAAGCGCACAAAACTAATGGACCATATCATCTCTTAAAATCTCATTACTAGTTGCATTTAAATAAAAAAAAAATGGCCTCTATTTTGATTTATTTCTACACAGTCTTTTGAACTACTTGCATGGTGCTTTTATGATGTTTTATTGTCCATTTTTGAGCTTGATGACAGCCAGTTATTTTAGTATCATTTGCTTACTTTTATTAAAGTGGGGACATAATTACTGATTATAATGACTTATACTGTGTTTCTACGCGTTGCATCGCGCCACGAAATCATAAAACATGTCTGCATTTGTGATCTTATTTGTCAGCATCATAGACTGTGGTCAGCATGCGCACCGAAGGGGAAACGAGGGAACTGAATTCACCGGCATTGTAGGCTAAAATGCCTCCTTAATGCGTTGCACACATCTGAATATTTGGTTTGAAGTGTCC